AGACTTGATTGACAAGATCTATACTGTCTCGAGGCAGATGTCACAATGCATTCCACTTTCTCCCCTCTTCCTAAATGGGCATATGGCTGCTGTTCTCTGTTCCTTTGGAGCGATCTCAGACCGCAAGCGGGAGTGAGCTCAGTGGAAGCGCTGCCAGCACCTAGCGCTTTGTCCGGGGAAAGGAGTCTGAGAGCTGAGCCAGTAAAGACCAGTAAGGGTTTTCTGTCTTCATCTTGCCATTTAAGGAGCTTGTGTAAGTTTCGTCTTCATCTTCTATAGCTGTGTTTTTCACAAAGGGCAAGAGGCAAAATTGGAATTATTGAACCAGCTTGTTGGTATCTCTCTTGTGTAAACTGATCCCCTGAGAAAGCCCATCCCTGGAGATTGCTTTTACCATCTTAGCTGAGCTGCACTTTTGCTCTGCCATGCCAGTGTCTGGGTATGCGTTGAGGGGCCTGACAAAGTGTGGGCTGCCAGAACCAAAGGTTTCACCAGTGTGCTTGGCCACAGCTCTTCTCAAGCTCTTCCCAGTTTTTACTGCAGAAGTGACTGCTCATTTGCTTCTGCTCAGGTCTGTGCCCTCAGCTCAGCACTAGCCTCTTGGTCCCGTTAACAGCTCCCTGCTCTTCTGCATTCCACGGGCTACTGATAGGAAGCTGCCACAACCTGTCTCCTGCCTCCTCATGAAACACTTGTTTTGTTTTCCCTTAGGGTTTTGTCCTGGTTGTTACCAGATTAACCCCTTTGTGGTTAATTTGTGATCATGAATGCTTTGCTGTAGGGCTCCTCCAACTAGGTGTAGTGATTGGATTAATTGGTCTCATTGTATCAGCTGGGTATGTGCAAGGGCTTCCCCCACGTGCTCCTTCACTCCAGCACTGCAGGCAGCCCTGACTGATGGCTGTGCAGGAACAGGGCCTGGGTAGGAGAGCCAAGGTTTGCAGAAAGGTGTGACATCTGTTGAACCAGCTGCAGATGTCGTCTTCTTGTCGTAACCCCGAACACGCACTCCTCCAGCTGTGCTCTTAGACACTACTCCTGATTTTCTCTCCTTCTTTCCCCTCTCCTTTTCTGGGTGCACTTGGCTCCAGTGCTCAGCTGCTAGCATGGAGCAAGACTGGTCTGAATCTCAGCATTTCCCTGCCTGCATCTGCCTGGAGCAGGGCTCTTCTCAAGGTGTGTGTAGCTGGAGGGATGTGCAGGCCTGGATGGCCACGGGGCTCTGGAGACAGGCTGCAGGCAGTCGTGGGCTCAAGCTTCAGGCTGGCCATTGCCATGAGCCTGAAGCTACCGCCACTTTTGCATGGGCAATATACCAGCCCTGCCTCATTTTGCTGTTCAGCTCCTCGATGAAAATGATGCCCCAGTCATGGATTTGGCCATTTCGGTGCTTCCTACTCTGTGTATCTGCCTTCTAAAGCAGTACTGCCTTGAGCATATATAGCCTGGGGGTTATCTGTCAGCCCCCTCGAGCTATGTCTAACTAATGAAGCCTTGTTTCTAACCAAACTGGGTGACTGGAGGAACTGGTCGTTTACTTATTCCGAAGCCATCCACGCCTTCTCTTGGCCTGTGTTCTAAGGGACAGTCACTGCCCGCTGTGCTCCTGCGGTGGAGCGTGCCTCTGCGTGTTATCAGAAAATTAAGCTGCTGGTGGAGCTGTCCTGTGTCAGGACAAACAGTCCCTACGAGAGCTGTCTGCTCCCTGTCCCAGTGCCAGACGAGTTTAATCTGGGAAGAGCGTGTTTGCTGCCGAGGACACGCGTTGCCCACCTGCAGCCCTGCCTGCTTGCGGCCCGCTTGGCGAGGGTGGAGCTGGTTTCCTTCCTCGCCCCAGCTGCCAAGCACCAGCCGGGCAGGACCCACGCCACTCCACAGCAAACACGCCTGGGGTGCCCGGCCCTGCCACCTGCTGCCACCGTCCCTGGAAGCTGAGGCAGCCACGGCAGGGCCCTATCGATCCGGGCGGACAGCGAGGCTGCTATTGGGAGGAGTGCTGAGCCCCGTGCTCACCCTGGCACCCTGCGTCGGGCAGCCGAGTCTGACAGTGGAGTCCCAGCAGATGCTTCCATCGCAGCGCTGTGGCTGAGCAGCGAGGAAGGACTGCTCGTGGGAGCTCCTGCCATGGCCCTCCTGAGCTGTAGCGCTTGTCCTAGAAGTAGATGTGCTTATCCCTGCGCTTACACTCTCCAACCTCAGCCACTATCTCCTCGCTTACCAGCTCCCCTTGCTCTTGCCGGGCTGTGCAGCTCCACACACTCGCTCCAGCTCTGGACTCTGCCCCACGGATTTAGTAGTTTGGGACTGAGCCTGGTTTTTGCAGTTGGTGACAGTGCTCCTCTTTCCTCTGCAAAGCTCATCTCCAAGCTGACCTCGCAAGGCTGCTGGTCTTGCACATCCTTCCTGCCCACGATGGATCCGGGCTCCGTCAGCCTCAGCTGATATGGGAAGGGATGCGGGTGGGCAACACCCTTTGCCCACTGCCTTCCTTTCCCTGCTGTTGTGGGTTTGCCCTCTGCCCCGGACTGAAAGGGTGTTGCCTCTGCAGGCACTTGGATGTTGCAAGCTCAAGACCAGGGTAGAGCCCGGGAACACACAGGGCACCATTGTGGGGGAAAGGGGAGGGCTCTGATGCCAATGGTCATATGCTGGCAAGCACGGTAACGCATGTTCAGGGGGTCCAACACCAGCCTCTGGGCCTGGCCTCCCGAGGCAAGTTCTGCCCTGCACCCCAGGCATGGACTGATTGTGCTGTGCAAAAATGCTGCTGCTGCAGCCGTTCTACCTGGCCCCGGCCCAACAAGCAGCTTCATTCTGGGTGCAATGGCCTCAATTTGCAGTGCCTCAGCAGGTCACGCTCCTCAGTTTAATGGGAGGCTGCTACGGGGGCTTGTTCTTAATGTGCTGAGCACCAGATTCAAAGGGTCACGTAGGTCCTTTACCCCTGGCAAATTTCTTGGTTGCTTGGGGGTGAAACCAGGCTGGAGGCGAGACCTGGGAGCGTTTGAAAACTAGTTGTGACTGTGGGGAAAGAAAACCCCAAGTTGCTTTAATCACCTGACAAGAGCAGGAGGTTCAATATAGGCTGTGTGCCGCTTGCACTGCCCAGCAGGTCCTGCCAGCAGTCCCCTGCTCTGCTCCCACCTCTCCGTGCCACAGTGTGGGTGCCACCCGGCTGCAGCCCCAGGCTCCCTCCCCGGACCTGGACACTTCCCTGCATCCTTCCATAAAGCTTGAGTTTCTGTGCTCGGCTTACTGCCTCTCTGCATCCACCTCCGCCTGTTTTTCCTGGCCTGGGATGGAGGCTGTGCCCAGGGGTTGTTCCCAGAGCATCTGTTGCTGGGTCTGCAACATGCATTTCCTCTTCCAGAAATGTTAATGCCACAGTTGCGTGTGTGGGGGCGGGATTCAGTGGAAAATGTTTCTCCATGGCCAGCCAGGTCATATCCCCTTCCTCCTGCTGTCGCTCGCTCTCCGTGCGGGTGAACCCATCACCTGGGAAGGACCCATCCTTGAGCGGGGCGGGAGGGAAAGATCGAGCAAAGGAATCTGAAGTGGGGCCCTTTCCCCCTTCCTCTTGTGCACACACCTGTGCCCATGTTGGGGTGCAGCACATTGCTCGGGGGGGGCTCCAGTTGCCCTCTTGCATCAGAGCACCAAGCCCCGGGCTGTGTGGGTGCTGGGGCAGCGCCGTGGTGGTTCTTACTGGCAGGGAAGCGGCAGGGCTGCCGTTACTCAGTGGGCCCAGAATAACCCAAAACCCACGCCGATGCGGTGGCCATGCGTCCCACCCCGCTCCTCGCCCCAGCCCTCCCGCAGCCAGCCCCCCGGCACTGCCCGTGGGAGGTGGGTGGAGGTGCCGCACCCACCAGTGCCAGCTCGTGGAAACCCTATTGCAGGAGGGAGCACGTGTTTGGGTGGGGAGAAGCAGCGTTTCACGAGCTTACGCAGCTTCCTCCCCAACTATTCAGGTTGCGCAAGGCAGCCCAGCATCCCTTCTTGTCCCCACACAAGGGAACGAGGACAGGGTGCTCTGCCCTGGCTGTCACGGGTGTGGCTGGCTCAGCATGGGGACTCAGCCCTGACAAACCCCCCCACCCCGAGCCAATTTTAGCAGCGCAGAAAGTGAGTGGCCGGGGTGCTGTGGCAGAGGGACAGCTCACAGCTCCAGAGTGGGGACTCGAAGCCACTGCTGCCGTTGCTCTGGCCTTGGGAGAGGAGTGCCATCCCCCAGGATGAGCAGTGGGGACTCCACATCTGGAGGGGCTGCGTGCTCAGCCTGGCCCTGCTGCAGGGACCTGGCCTGGGGCACGAGAAGCAGCACGAGCTTCAAAAGGTGTGAAGCCCATTCTCACCATACAGGCACGTTTTGCTCCATGTCCCCCCGGCCTTTCCCATGGTGACACCAGGTATCTTTCTTCCATTCCCTCTTCACAGAGAGAGGAAGAATTTGGTGTTATGGGGGGGCAGGAGGTTGTCGTGCAGGAGGCTCGTGGCTGGAGCGCTGGCACCCCCCTCTCCCCTGCGGCCAGGCTCACCGGTGCTCCTTCCAAAAGCGTTGCTGACCCGGGGCTGCCGCCGCCGCGACGCTCTCAAGCGTTTCCCCGCAGCCTCAGCCTCGCCCCTCGGCGGGACCGGGGGCCCAGGAGCCAACGAGCTCCCGGGGGTGCAGAGGGCGGAGGGGGGGCAGCCGGCCCACCGGGGGCTGGGAGCAGCCTCCGGGCGACGGGGCGGGCGGCTGCCCGGCAAGCGGGGTTTGGCGGGGCTGATGTCACCGACAGACTCGCTGCTCGGGCGACTTTGGGCCGAGGCCGGCCCCGGCCCCTACCCGCGGCCCCCGGGGAAGGGGCCAGAGCCGGGGCCGGGGGCGGCAGCGACCCGCCCGGAGGCTGAGTCACCGGCCGGGACGGGCCGGGGCGGGGCGGAGCGGAGCGGCCGCCGGTCGGTGCGGGGCGGTCGGTGCGCACCGGCGGGCGGGCGCGGGGCGGGGCGGCCCCGGGCCCCTTTGTTCGGCGGGAGGCGGCGGCGCGCAGCCCCACCGCTTTGTCCGCCGCCGCCGTCGGGAGCCGCTCGTCCCGGCGCGCCGTGAGTGGGGCTGGGCGGCGTGGGGGGGGGGCCCTGGGGCAGACGGCGATACCCCGGGGGGGCTGGGGGGTGGCGTGGACGGGAGGTCCAGGCGTGAGCTGCGGACGGGGAGGTGGGGGGGGCCGAGGTTCGCGGGTAGGCAGGGATCAGCGGGGCTGGAGGTCCCGGGTGGGCTGGCGGCGGTGGGGCAGGGGACCCCGGGAAGGCTTGGGGTCCCCAGGTTGTCAGGGGTGGTCAGTGGGATGGGGAGCTCTGGGCAGGCGGGGGCTGGCGAGTCCCAGGGTGGGGTGCAGGGGGCCCCGGTGTGGGCTGGGGAGATGGGGTCACTGGGAAGGGCAGGCTGGGGCAGGGGCCCCTGGAGTTGGTAGGGCTGGGGGTGTGGGTGTAAGGCCTGGCTGTCCTGATTTTGGCCAAGGCACGTGGTGCTCGTCCTGACGCATGGCGTGGCCGGGAGGTGGTGGGTGGCTTGTCCCTTTCAGCAGAGAGCTGGGCCCTGGCTACCTGCTCCAGGGGGGGCCCTGCACCACGCAGGGGGAAAGGGTGTGGGGAGCTCTGTTCCGCTCCAGCCATGCCCACTGCACGTCCTGACCCACGCTGCCATCCGTCCGTGTGTCACCTCTCCTTGGCCACCACGGCAGTGCCCACGTGTGTGCTTTCGCTTTCCCTGGCCTTGCCAGCTCCCCAGGGCTGCCCTCCTGCTTGCTCCCCTCGGCTTGTCCCCTGCCCCAGCCGCTCACCCGAGGGCCAGGGTGGCCTGCTGCTGCCAGGCAAGGGCTAACGGCAGACACAAAGCATCCTCCTTCCAGTGAGGTGGTGGGGGAGAGGACCTTGTACTGGAGAGATGGGACAGCAGCGAGACCTGGCAGGGTCCTTGGCCAGAGGAGGATGGTGGCCCTGATGGGCTGGGTTTGGGTCCTTGGTGCCAGCCCATGCCAACTCCCGCAGCTCAGCAGGATCTGCCAAGCACCAGGCCACCAGCGAGAGCGTGCTCCCCGCATGGGTGCTTGTGCTGAAGAGGTTTTTCTGTTTAGGCGAGGTTGCTCGGGAGGCAGGCTGAGCTAAGCCAAAAAGATCCTCTTATTCTGGGCAATAGTGGTGTGAGTGCAGCAGGAGCTTATGGACGTGCCCTGGCCGGAGGCGATGGGATGGGGCTGGCAGGAGCGTCGGGGAGGCTAGGGGCTCTATGGGGACACGTCCCGTCTGCTCATCCCAGGCAGCCCACCACGTGCAGCCCTTTCATCAGCCCATGCACAAACCGCCGAAACTGGGGGTGGCGGTGGAGTATCTCCTCTTGTGTCTTCTCCTTTTGCCAGGAGCTGTGGCTCAGTCCTCGTAATTTCCTGCCTGACCTCCGGTGTCAGCTGCTTCGCCAGGACTTTATGCAATTCCTTGGCCACCCCACACTGCACCTCATCATCGCTCTCCTGCTCTGCTCCCTGCGGCAGCCCTTGCCGTCAGGCTGCAGGGTGCTCTGAGCGCCAGCCACCGTGGGTTTCGGGGGCTCGTGAGGATTGGGGGGTGGGGGTCCCACAGGAGGGAGGGCACAGCACGGAGGTTTGGTGGGGCAGAGTGATGCCACATCTCTGCTGGCCCTTGACGGAGAGCTTGGTGGGGCGCAGAGGGCCTGGCTTGTGAGCATGTGGTGGGGGATGCTGGCTCAGGTGAGCCCCCTCGACCGTGGCTGGAGGCTGGCAGCTGCAGCGGGGCAGAGGGGCTGCCGTGCGTTGGGAGGGTGTGGGTGCTGGCGCAGGGTGCGGCGCTGGTTGGGGTCCTGCCCAGGACCAGGTGGCAAACAGGTGCCGCAGCACCAGGGGCGGAGGAGGCGGTTCTGTCCCCAGCCTGTCCCCTCGTCCTCCCCAGCCAGCGCTGCCCCGTGCTGCTGTGTTTACCCTGGCCGTGGCTGTGCTGACTTTTCCCCGAGATGTGTCTGGCAGGGAATGGGGACATCCCAGCCTTTTCCCTGCTCCCCGGGTCCCCCCTGCCCACCCGGCGGGCAGGGGGGTAGGAGCAGGATGCAGGGGCGTGGGGAAGTGGCGCTGGGCAGGGGATGTGGTTTTGGGGAGATGGCTGCCCACGCAGGGCTGTGTTTGTGGACCTGTGTATAAGGGAAGGAACATCGGCGCTGGGAGAGTGAGAGGGGCAGAGCTGGGGTGGCAGCTGGTGGTTCGGGGAGACCCACTGAGGTGCAAGCGGATTTGCTCAGTGCCTGTTTGCCTGTCCCTTCCCTGCAGGGTTTGAGCCAACTGCCTGGTCAGGATGAGCTGGAGTTTCCTCACGCGGCTCCTGGAGGAGATCAACAACCACTCGACCTTTGTGGGCAAGATCTGGCTGACCGTCCTCATCGTCTTCCGCATCGTGCTGACGGCCGTGGGGGGCGAGTCCATCTACTACGACGAGCAGAGCAAGTTCGTCTGCAACACGCAGCAGCCAGGCTGTGAGAACGTCTGCTACGACGCCTTCGCCCCGCTCTCCCACGTCCGCTTCTGGATCTTCCAGATCATCATGGTGGCCACACCGTCGGTCCTCTACCTGGGCTTCGCCATGCACCGCATCGCCCGCATGCCCGAGTCCTTGCGGCGCCGGGCACCGGCAGCCCGGCAGGCACGCATGCCAGTAGTGCGCCGGGGAGCCGGGCGGGACTACGAGGAGGCGGAGGACGATAATGAAGAAGACCCCATGATCTTTGAGGAGATCGAGGTGGAGAAGGAGAAGAGCCCGGAGGGCGGGGAGAAGCATGACGGCCGGCGCCGCATCAAGCAGGACGGGCTGATGCGCGCCTACGTCCTGCACTTGCTGTGCCGCTCGCTGCTGGAGACGGCTTTCCTCTTTGGGCAGTACCTGCTGTACCGCTTCGAGGTGAGCCCCTCCTACGTCTGCAGCCGCAGCCCCTGCCCGCACACCGTCGACTGCTTTGTCTCCCGCCCCACCGAGAAGACCATCTTCCTCCTCGTCATGTACGCCGTCAGCGGGCTCTGCCTCTTCCTCAACCTCTGCGAGCTCGTGCACCTCGGCGTGGGGCGCATCCGGGATGCCCTGAGCCAGCCCGATGGCCCCCCGCTCCCGGTTGGCGGTAGCCCCGCGCCACAGTACCCCACAAAGCCCCCAGTGCACCCCCCACCTACCACTCGCTGAAAAAGGAGCTGCCGCGAGCTCCGCTGCCCGATGGCAAGCTGGACTACCGGGAGAGCCTGGCCCAGGTGGCGGCAGCCGGGTGCTTCGCCCTGGCCGGGGCGCGAGCACCTACGCCTGGCCCAGGAGCACCTGGAGGTGGCCTTCCACCTCCAGCCCCCCCCCCCCGCGGCCCCCCAGCCCTGCCCGCAGCAGCAGCCCCGAGGCCAACGGCATCGCCGCCGAGCAGAACCGCCTCAACCTCGCCCACGAAAGGGGACCGCTGCCTGCGAGAGGACCACGGGTGAGCCGGGGAGGGGGGACGGATCCGGCCGGCTGGGGTGGGGGCGATGGAGGGGCTGCCCCTGGGCTCCCCCCCCCCCCCCCGGGGCGGGTGCTAACCTGACTCTTGCTCCCCGCAGGGCTGGGAGTGCCACCGGGGATGGCGGCGGTGTGTGCCGGCGCGGCTGCCGCCGCCACCGTGGGACAGGCAGCCTGCCGGGAGCGCGGGGCAGAGGGTGCCGCACGCCTGCTCGGCGGGGCTGGCCGGGCAGCCCTGTCCGGGTGGGTGGCAGCAGGGATGGGGGCCTTTGGGGGGACATTCCTACTTAATTTTCAAAAAGGGAATATCTTATTTTTATACATTTTTTATAAACTGGTCAGCGTGTGCACCCTGGCATTTTTATACTCCACTCCCGACCTCTGCTCTGGGTCTGCGTCCCCCCTCGTCTCCTATTTCACCCCTTTTTCCTCCTCCCACACCCATTTCCCACAGCATCTTCTCCTCACACCTCCCCGTGCCCTCCCGTGCCCACCGCCACCCGCCGCTGCGCCGGCCGGTGCTGTACATTGTCGGGCCATGCTGGCGATGCCGGTATTGCCCCCCGCGGCGTGGGGGTTTAGGGGAGCCAAGCCCGGGGGTCCGGCTGGCTGGGCCAAACCCCGGGGCCGGGCGCTGGGCTGGCGTTGCGCTTGGAGGGGGATGGGAAGGGGTCCTGGCGGCGCCGCTGCCAGAAAGTGCCGGTGCGGCTGGGGGGGGGCCGTGCTGCGCAGCATCCTGGCACGGGTCGCAAGCCGCGGGGCTGGCCTGCTCGGAAATGTCTGTGCAGAGGGCAGGGGCTGTCCTTCCTGCTCCCTCTGCCCTGCTCCCGGCCGGCCGGCCGCCCTTGGACCAAAGCCTATCCCCTCCCACTCCGGCCGTGGGGCCAGGACCCCCTGCGTGGGGCCAGACCCTGGTCCTGTGGCTTGGGGTGGGGGGGGGGCACAGTGCCCCGAGCGGGGCTCAGCTGGGAGCCAGTGGGGCATTTCTCATCATCTCAGCCTGGGTCACACGGGGATATTTGTAGCATTGTTTTTTACTCAGAAAATGATTGTCACTCTGTTTTCTCTTTTTTTTTCTATTTTTTTTTTTTTTTTTTTTTTTTATATCTATATTAGTAAAGGCTGGAGACGTTTTGTACTGAACTGCTGCACCCGGTCCTTCGGGAGGAAGGGGTGGGAAGGGAATCCTGCGCAGCTGGGCTGGGGCGGGCAGGGCCACTCGCCCGCCCTGGGACCTCCCCGCTCGCCCCGGGGTGACTCAGTCGTTCCTGCCCGTGCGGAGGCGGCTGCAGCCGGGGCAGCCTCCATCGGCCTGGCCGAGCAGCAGGACTGCTCCGGCCGTGTTCCTGTGCGGTCCTGCCCCTGGCGAGGGGCCCAGCGAGGGGGTTCCCCGTGTCTCCCCATCCCGCTGCTGCCCCCGTGTCTCCCCATCCCGCTGCAGCCATGAGCAGAAGTGATGCTGCCCTTCCCTGCTCTCCCCAGCCCCGGGGCCGGATCAGACCCAGCCACACTTTACCGATTTTGGCCAGCACACCCCAGTCCCCTCTCTGGGACCCCAAGTCTGAGCTGAATCCCTCTTGCAGCTCTTGCCCATTGCCTCCCTCCTCCAGCCAAAAGCCCACACGGAGCTCTCATCCCACTGCACAACCGTGTGCGATCTCTGTGGGTGCCTCTGATGGAAACTGGCATTTCCAGGGTGGTTTGGTAAAGGGAACAGGTTTATTTCACTCATCCCATGAAGCTTTCCGACAGGCTGTGCTGCCGAGAGAGGGCTCGCTTGCAGCACCGTCCGTGCCACCAGCCCCACCACCGGTGTGAGGTCTGGGCACCGGCTCCCCTGGCACATCCCCATCCTCACCTGGGAGCACGGGGAGGCTGTTTTGCTCTGCAGCAGAAGTGGGATCCCACTCTTTGGGGGGGGGGGGGGGGGGGAGTTTGGGGAGGGGAGCAAGGGGGAAGAAATAGGGGCTGAGCTAGTTGCAGACACGAGGCTGGCTTTGTCGGGGGGTCGGTGCCTCTGCCGGTGGCTGTGCCTGTCCCTACCCTGCCATTCCCTGGCTTGCTCTAGGCTGAGACCTAGGACAGATCTGGCAGCATGACCAGCCCCAGGGCAGCCCAAAACTCTGGCTTGTGCAGGGCAGGGCAGCACAGCCCAACCTCATCCCTCTCCAGGTCCCTCTGGACCCTGCAGCACGGGGCTGGGGATCCCTTGGGTGAGCAGCTCCTCCTGGGTGGGATCACGGTCCAGGGCCTGGCTGTGGGATGCCCCTAGACGCAGGTGCAGTCCTGGGCCAGGATGTTGGGCACCGTCTCGTACTTGAAGGAGTACCCGCCGTCGGAGGTGGTGCGGACGCGCAGGGAGCGCATGGTGCCGGGCAGCGCGGCGCAGCAGAGCTGCACGCCCAGGCGGTGGCTCAGCCCGTGGCCCTCGGCACAGCTCCCGTGGCAGTACTGGAAAACAAAGCTGCTGGGATGCACAATCCACTTGTCCCAGCCCAGCTCCTCGAAGGAGATGTTAAGGGAAGCCCGGCGGCAGTTGGTGTGGGCGGCCAGGTCCTCGGACGGGCGCTGCAGCAGGCTCAGGGCAGCTGGGGACCAGGGCACGGCAGAGCGCCGGGCCCTCTCGCTGCCCTTGGCCCGGGTGGTGGCCACCAAGAAGGGCATCTTGTCCTCCTCGGCCAGACAGGGGCAGCCGGGGCAGCGCACCAGGAGCACGAAGAGCGGCTGCAAGAGCTGGGGCAGCAGCGCCGGGGAGAAGTGAAACACTGTCCAGTGCTCAGGGGTCCGCACCGCCGTGGCCGTCACCGGCACACGGCCCTGCGGCGACAGGGTCAGCACGTCGGGGGCCGAGTGGTTGGGGGTGGCCGAGGGGCCAGTGTAAAACCAAAGCTGGGCAGAGGTCACCACGCGGCTCAGGGTGTGCGCCGAGGGCTGGAAGAGGTAGGTGAAAATCCCTTCTTCCTCCAGCAGCTTGTCCGGCTGCGTGGGCTCGCAGGGCACATCTGCGGGGGGAGGCAGGGAGAGATGCTCGGGGTGCGCACCCAAACCCGGGGAGGGTCCCCAATGCTGGGAGGGAAGTGGGATGTTGCAGAGGGTCCCTGGGGGTGCTGGCAGGGCGGCCGGCTGCTGGCGTGGGCCGTGGGAGGGTGGGGGGAGCTGAGATCTAGTGCTAGGCAGCAGCACTGCGCCCCGCAGCTGGGCTCTGCCGTGCCCTAGGCTGCCCCCGTCTCCCAGCATCCTGCCTCCTGTCCCAGCGTCCTTCCCCATAGCTGGGCATCCTGCCCCATCCCACAGCACCTTGCCCCATCCCTTAGTATCATATCCCATTTCCCAGCATCCTGCCCCATTCCCTGACAGCCCACCCTCCCCCATCCTGCCTGCTCCTCAGCCTTCCCCATCTCTCTGCATCCTGCCTGGTCCAGCCATTCCCTGGCCTCTCAGCACCCTCTTGTGCCACCTGCCCCTCTCTTTGCCTCTGTCCTGGGCTGCTCTGCCTGTCCCTGCCCGAAATACCTTTCCAACTCCCAGATCTCCTCCACTAAACCTCACCCGTGCCCATGCCCCAGTCTGGTTTACCCTCCTTCTCTTCTTCCACAGACCACCACAGCAGTCCCTCCATCCTGCTGCACCCGCGTTGCCCTGAGCCCCCACCCTGCTTCACCTGTCTGCCCTCTCCATCCCACCAGGATGTTCTCACCTGTGGAAGGGAAGAGAATCACCTGGGAGGTGTCCTCCAGCTCCTCCGGCTCGACTTCGGTGCTTTCAGGGACGTCTCTCCGGTGCAGCTTCCTTGCTTCCTTCTGGGGCTCCTCCTGGAGAACCGGGGGGCTCAGATGCTCCAGCACCCGAGCCCGCACCTTGGCCAGGACGAGCTGCCGGTCAGCACCAGCGCCGGTGCAGCCGGCCAGGGCGGCGGTGGGCAGCATGGCAGGGAGCAGGTGCAGGAGGAGCAGCATGACCGTGGGGTGCACAGCGGGACGGCGACTTGGGGGGCTTTGCCACGGGCTCTTGCCTGCCTGCCCAGCCCGTCTGCCTGCTGCACTCCCCCCGGGGCAGGGTGGCATTGAGACCTATCTGACACTGACGCAAACGTCTGCTCGCCGTGAATATTATCTCTGGGCAGCGAAAGCGCTGAGACGTCTGGAATGCAAGGACTGCAAGGACAGTGTGGTACGGGGAGGGGGGGGCTGGCGCCCAAGCAGGGGGTGTGTGGGGGAGATGCTGCTGGGGGTGGCGGGTGGATGGGGCTGGGGAGGCTGGGCCGTGGGTGCGGTGCTGCCAGGAAGGTTTTCCTGGGCTGTCGGGGACAGAGGGGACACCCTGAATGAGTTTTGCAGCTGCCAGTGCTGGGTGCCCTCCATGGTGGAGGAGCTGCAGATTTGGGACTTCTGGGGGGACAGTAGGAGGTGTCGGTAGCTGTGCACAGCAGGGACGTCTGGACAGGGGTCTGGTGGGGTATGGAGCCCTGCGAGGCCCTGGCATGGAGGAGCATGTTGGGGGTGGCAGGCTGGGCACCCTCCTGCCAGGGGTGGCTGTGACAACCCAGGGTCACAGGGCAGCCGGGATTGGGGGAGGGCAGGCTGGGGGGGGGGGGGGCTGTGGCGTCCTCAGGGCACTCTGGACGCTAGCGAGGTCCTGGGGACATGAGGCGAGAGGGCTGGCAAGATGTCCCTGCGCTGCCTCAGGCTGGGGAAAGCTGGGCTACCTTCAGGAGGAGGAGGAGGAGGAGAAGAGGTGAGGCAGAGCCAGGCCAGCTGGAGACCGCGCAGCGGTGCCAGGAGATGGATCCAGGGGTGCAGTTCGGGCTGGCTGGCTGTGGGCTGGCGCCTGGGGTAGGAGGGAGCTGCAGGAGGGGCACAGGCTGCAAGAGGACGCAGCGTGTCCTGTCCTTCCTCCCACTGCTGCCTGTGGGGACGGTGCCAGGCATCCCCCCCCAGCAGCGGCGGTGGGGGCAGCCTCCACACCCCCTCCGCTCCCCCAGCAGCCCGGTGTCCCACACAGCACGGCCCGTGGGACGCATCCCATCCCCTGCAGCCCGGCAGCTCGTGCAGCATCCAGTGCAGCACACCCCACCCCACGCAGCGTGTCCTGCGTGGCATGTCCCCGTCTTGCTGCAGCCTGCTGCCCCACGCCGAGCACCCCGCGCCCTGCGTGCCAACCCGTGCACCCCACACCGTGCGCCCATGCTGTGCACCCCGCATGGCACGTTGCCTCCTGCCGCTGGCTGAGCCAGTGCCGAGGCACAGCCGGGTTTGGGACACCCCAAATCTCGAGGGGGAACGCTGCCTGCTTGCCCCCGGCCGGGTGGCTCCTGCCGGGCTGCTATACATAGGTAGGCCAGCCCTGCCCCGGCGAGGCGCTGAATGGAGCAGGCTCAGTCTTATCAACCCAGCATGTCATCAGAGGGTATTTTTGGGGACAGCAGCTGCAGGCATTTGTAACGTTTGGTCCCGGAGCACTGACACCCGGGAACGGAGCTCAGGGAAGCAGCAGAATCTGGGTGCCGGCACTGGGAGACGCAGGGGAGAGGTGGCAGAGCGAGGTGCGTGTGTGGGGCAGGGGACTGGGCTGTGGGGCTGCGTGGGGCAGGGTAATCGGGGAAAGGGGTGGTTGAAGGGGGTCAGTGGGGCGGCTGAGCCATCAGGGCTCTGGGTGTCTGCAGGAGATGCCGTGGGGTGGCCCATGGGTCAGGGGAGCGTGTGGCTGGGGAGGTGGCTCTGGATGGAGGCACCGTCCCAGGGACAGGGGTCTGGAAGGAGAAGTTGGTCCTGGTCCCTGTCACTTCTTGGGGACCAGCCCTCTCCCACTGTCCCCTCTGGCTCATTCAGGGAGTATTTTTGTTTCTCTCCCCACTACCCGAGGGAGTCAGAGATGCCACTGCCCCAGCCCCAGCCGTGGTGTGGGCAGAGGCTGGGGTGCACTCACCCCGGGGAGGCACTGAACACCCTGTCCTGCTCCTGCCCAGGACGGTGTGCACAGTTACCCCCAGAACTGGGGATGGAGGCAGTGCCCTCCAAAAGGACTCATTTCCCCAGCCTTCTCTCTGCCCCACCCCCGGGGCTGACAATTTCCAGCCATGGCTTCCAGTCCCCAAGGGCTGGATCCTGCTGTGTGACCACATTCTGGAAGGGGAAGCCTGCTCCTGGACTGGGGGCACTCCCGCCTTGCCCCAGGGCACAGCCCTGCAAAGTGACTGTCAGACACTGGGGGGTCTCCACTGCCCCTCCGAGCCCAGGAGGAAGGTCCCAGATCCGGCTGGGTGCCTCTGGCCCGCGACAGCCCCGTATCAGCACCTGCCCGCTGAGCCAGCCCAGATGCTGCGGGAATGCGGCTCTGCCACCACCCGATACTGCAGGAATGCCCGTGGGTGGGGAAGGGGTGGGCTGGGGCCGTCCTGCCTCCGCCGTCCCCAGCACCCAGCAAGCAGCTGCCTGCGCTCCCTGTCTAGACAGGAGTGTGTCGTCCCCCCCAGATCTGGGGTCCCCCGGGGGCAGTCTGTGTCCCTCGGGGTGCAAAGAGCCGCCTTTTTCCACCTCTTCTATTGACTATGGGCTGGGAAATGGGTGATTTGGGCTGAGACAGGAGCATATCCAGTGGGGCTGGGGTGCTCAGAGTGAGGGTGCTGCTCCTGCAGCATGGGGTCTGTGCTGGGGGCTTTGCTGTGGGCACGGGTCCCTCCTGGTGGTGCTCCACACCGAGACCTTCGCTGAAGCCTAAGCCCCCACCCTGGTCGGTCTGTGCATCCCCCAGGCTGATGAACCCCACTGCTGCTCTGGCCAGCCGCCTGCTGTGACCCCGGGGAGGTGGTGATGGAGGGGTTCGGGGGAGCCCCCCGCTTCCTGGCCTACCCACGTGCCTTCACGGTGCGAAGCGGCACCGACGCAATCCTGAGCTGCCAGATCACGGGCGACCCCCAGCCAAGCATCCTTTGGGAGAAGGACAAGACCCCAATCGAGCCCTCGGGCCGCTTCCACATGGAGGCCAAGGGGGACCTGTACAGCCTGCTGGTGTCCCGCGCCACCCCCCAGGACAGCGGGCTCTACGTCTGCAAGGCCAAGAACAGTGTTGGCGAGACCTACGCTGCTGCCACGCTCAAAGTGGAGGTGGGGGAGCCCCGAGAGGAGGAGGGATGCTCTGACAGTGGGATGCCTGCCTTCCTCGTAGCCCCCTCATCCACACGGGTGTGCCGGGGGGAGGATGTGATGTTCGCCTGCAGGGTGTCTGGGCACCCCTGCCCGGTGCTGGAGTGGGAGAAGGACGGGCACAAGCTCTCCGATCTCTTTGAGAGCAGTCATTTTGCGGTGGGACAGGAGCCAGAGAACTGGCACTTCCTGAAGCTGTTTGGTGCCCGGCCCCCGGACGGGGGGGTGTACGTGTGCCGGGCACGCAGCGGCTCCCGGGAGGCCCTGGCTGCTGCCATGCTCCTGGTCGAACCCCGGGCGCTGCTGGACGGGCTCCCCAGTTGTTCTCCTGCTGATGGCCCCGAGCTGCTGGCGGAGCAGCAGCAGCGGCGCCGGCGGCACGCAGCGGGACGGCGCTCGGGGCCAGAGACCTGGGTGCCCAACGGCACGGTGCCGACCGGGCTGCCGGGGGCCAAGGCGTTCACCGTGAGCGTGGGGAAGCACGCCAAGTTTCGCTGCTACGTTACTGGCAAGCCCAAGCCGGAGATTGTCTGGCAGAAGGACGGTGAGCCCCTCGCCCCTGGCCGCAGGCACCTCATCTATGAGGACCGGGAGGGCTACTTCATCCTCAAGGTACTGTACTGCAAACCCCAGGACCAGGGGCTGTACGTCTGCACCGCGTCCAACACCGCCGGCCAGACCCTCAGTGCAGTGCAGCTCCAGGTGAAAGGTAGGACCGTGCCCAGGCGCTGTGGGGGGTGGCTGGGCACTGGGGGGGGGGGGGGGTCCAGGGCTTTTCATCTGGCAGGGATGTGTCTGTGTGTGAGCACCCTTGGGCTCTCTCCTGTCCTGTGCAGCTGGGGTCACCCCAGTCTCCTCTGGACGGAGCTGCGGGCTGGAAGGAGGGGATGCTGGGCTCTCCCGGGGAGCTGGGCCCCTCCCTCTGTGCCCCTCCTTTCAAACAGAGAGGTGGCATCTCTGGAGGGCTGCTGGTGTCCAGCCCTGAGTGGGGAGGGGTGACAGTGCCTTGGTGACAAATTCCCCGAGAAGTGCCAAGTGGTTTTGGCAGGCAGCCCTGCAGGGCATGGCTCCAAGCGTCTGTGATGGGAGCAGCCCTGTCCCCCGGAGCCACCCTGCCAGCCGGGGACAGCCCACGGCTGGGGTGACCCGGCAGCTGGTGCATCCCCCGCTGCACCCTGCTGCTCCCCTCTGCTGAGGTGCGTGCTGGCGTGCACACTCCTGTGTCCCCCAAAACTCCCTGCTGAGATGCTGGGGGCATCTCTGGGTCTCCCTAGCCTGTGCCCTGGTTCCCCCAGCTCTCAGGAACGCCCTTCTCGGGCCAGTGCTCATCCCACACAGGCCAAAGAGGAAAGGGCAGAGAAGGGCCAAGGGCTCGGCGCTCTTAGTGAGCTGGGAATGCCCTGAGCGAAGGGCTGCTGGTGGGTGCCCTGCCCCGTGCGCCCTCAGCACCCGTCTCTCCCCGCGGCAGAGCACCGGCTGCGGTTCCAGGTGCAGCTGGCAGACGTGGAGGTGGCGGAGCGGGAGGACGCCGTGCTGGAGTGCCAGGTGCCGCTGGAGACCATCCCCACCGCCTGGTACCTGGAGGACAGGGAACTGCAGCCCAGCCACAAATACGTGATGGAGGAGCGAGGTGTGGTGCGGCGCCTGACCATCCGCGATGCCCGCACCGACGACGACGGCATCTACCTCTGCCAGATGAAGGACAAGGGGCGCAGCATCGCTGAGGTCTCCGTCCGAGGTGGGGGACAGGTCTCTGGTGGCCTGGCTTTGCCTTCCTATCCCCCTCCTTGCCAGGCTCCCCAGTGCTCCTTGCATTTGCCTTCCCGCCGTTTGTCCGTGGTGCCTGCTGCTGCTCCTCGTCGACCTCTTACCCCTCCTCTCTCCCACCACAGGGAGCACATCCTGCTCCCCAGCACCCCTCCCGGACCTTCATGCATCTCTTCCCGTAGGGGTGATCGCGAAGCGGCTGCCGCGGAAGCTGGATGTGATGGAGGGGGAGAATG